GGTGCCGGGAGGGGCGGAGCCTCGGCCGGACGCCTGCGCGGTTCCCCCGCGGAGTGGCCGCTGCTTTCGTCCTGCGGGCGGCCCGGGCGGTGCGCAGGGGGTTCCGGCGCGGGCGTGCTGGGGTCCGCGGTCCAGTGCGGACGGGAGAACGGCAGAGCCCCCGAGTGTGTGGGGTGTCGATCCACGTGCACTTCCTGGGCCTTAGCCGGAAACCAGCCACAGTGCTTTCCATCTTTTGATACTGGGTCTGGCTCAGTGTCCCAGGTTGGCCCCAGGTTTGCAGTCCTCCTGCCTCAGCCTGCAAGTAGCTGAGATTACAGGCGTGTACCACTACGCTCTGGTATAATTTTGATAATGGCAGGTGACTTTGTTTGATGCCGACTTTCTAAATCAAAAGGAACTCGTAAAATATTTTGGTCTCTTTTCTTGTTAAAAGGGGTACGCACCCAGGGGTTTTGCATGGAGCTCAGCCCTTTGTTTTTTGTTCTGAGACAGGCCCTTGCTAAACCCCTAAATTTCTCTGACCGGGCTCTAACCTACCCCAGCCTCCCAGAATGCTGGGATCACAGGCTGTGCCACCGCTCGGCCATATTTTAGCCTCTGAAAATGGATTTTATCATATTGCTCAAAGGTGTGAATAGTACAGAACTAATGAAAAGTGATGATTCTTGGTCTGAGCTGCTCTTACTGACAGGTTTCTCAGGCGGCATCGCTTGCATCTTCTTTTAGTGCTGTTTTGTGGTCTGACTTTTAAAGGCGCCAGGTTTGCCCGTTTGAAACCACCTAGAAGCTTCTGTAATAGGAAAAGGTGGCCGGGCGTGGTGGCGCACTCCTGTAATCCTAGCACTTGGGAGGCTGAGGCAGGAGGATCGTTGCAAGTTCCAGACCAGCCTGGGCTACAAAGTGATCTCGAGGCAGCCTGAACTGCATAGCGAGACCCTGTCTCAAAAAGATAGGTAGATGAATAAATGAATAAAGAAAAAGAAAAGGTGTGGCCTGGCTTGCAGCATGCGCTGGCCTTACTTTCTGTCCTATATCCTTGTGCATTTATATTCTCTTTTTAGTAAGCGAGGCTCCTATTATTACAAAAATGCTATTCGCTTCAGAGCAGAAAAGCCACACGTAACCTGTAAAGAGTCCTCTGCTAAGTCGCTCCTTTGCCCCCATGTGCTTTGTACACAGATCTGAAGAGATTGGCTGGGTGTGGAAAATAACTTTTCCAAGCCACCTTTGTGTTGTGTTTGCTGGGACGATGTTTGCGAGATTGAGTCTTCCACAGCTACTTTTTGCTGGCATCGTGGGAATTGCTGGAGGAATATACATTTACCAACCAATATTTGAACAATATTCCAGAGACCAAAAGGCATCAAAAAAGAAGGTGGAATTAACAGAAGATTCAAAAGAGAAGAGAAGTTAATGCTACATGGAGTTGAATTGTAATAACTGCCTAAAGTTCCATTGGACTTAGCATTAACAATAAGGAACCTCGTAAATACTTACATATGTATTTTAAATATAAATAAACCAGAGATAATAATTGTAGATGATTTTTAAAAGTAGCACTGTTGGTTTTAATGTTTGCCATACTTTTATTTACCATTCTTTGTCTTTTCATCGTGACAGAGTAGCAGTTTTTCAAACTAAACATCATAAGGACAGTGTAAAATGGATTTAATTAGTACCATTAACAGTTTGGTGTGAGCTTTGTATTCTTTTCACATACGTGAAAGTTTTGATTCAAGT